TGAAGGATTGGTTATTGATGGTAAGTTGCTACTATGATTGAGAAGTTGTCTCTTGCTTGGAGAGAATTCAAATGTTATCTCAAACACAAGCGAAAACAGTTGTTCATGAAGAATATTACTGTGAAACTCCGCATTGAAGAGGACAACAGAAAGGGAGACAAAGAGCCACTTAAAGTTGAAGCTAATGGCCATATTGCTGAAGCTTCAAGGTGTCGTCCCAAGAAGAATCAATCCAAAACAAAGAATGTGAATCTTGAGCCAAGGAATGATGCTAACAAGCGCATTCATGCAATCTGCTAGCTTTGTGGCAAGAGTGGCCATATAGCTGCAAACTGTAGACACAAGAAGGGACAAAGCTCCAACAACCAGGCCAACACTATGGAAGATGACAATTTAATTGCTGTTATCTCTAAGGTAAATATGACCTCTGACACTAAAGTCTGGTGGATTGATACTGGTGCTACTAGGCACGTATGTGAGGACAAATCACTGTTCACCACTTATGAGAAGCTAGATGGCAGTGATAAAGTGTACATGAGAAACGCTTCAACAACCTCAGTGGAAGGCAGAGGAAAAGTCCTACTGAAATGGACTTTTGGAAAGATACTTACCCTCACTGATGTGTGGCATGTGCTAGAGATTTGAAAGAATCTTGTGTTAGGAACTCTACTTAACAAAAATGGGTTCAAGCTTGTATTTGAGTCAGATAAGTTTATTCTGACTAAGGGGGGTATGTATGTGGGAAAAGACTATCTGAATGATGACATGTTTAAATTGAATGTAATGGCACAAGTGCCCAAGAATAATAATAATAATAACAACTCTTCTGTTTATATTGTTGGGTTGTGTGATGTATGACATTCTAGGCTGGGGCATGTCAATTATTCTTTACAAAGAATGGTAAGTTTATGATTATTGCCTAAGTTTAACATTGATAATAGACACAAATGTGAAGTTTGTGTTGAATCAAAGTTTGCTATAAATTCTTTTTCATCTGTAGAAAGAAGTAATGAGTTACTTGATTTAATCCACAATGATGTATGTGACTTGAAAAGTACTCCCACAAGGGGTGGTAAGAGATACTTTTTCACATTTATTGATGATTGTAGTAAATATTGTTATGTATATTTATTACATAGTAAAGATGAGACCTTAGATGTTTTTAAAACATATAAGGAAGAAGTTGAAAATCAAATTGAGAGGAAAATAAAAGTGCTTAGATAAGATAGAGGTGGTGAATATGAATCGTCATCACTTTCTGAATTTTCTGAAGTTAATGGTATAATCCATCAAACTACGACATCTTATATACCACAACAAAATGGTGTAGCTGAAAGAAAGAACCGAACTTTGAAGGACATGGTTGTTCAGGTTTAACCCATAATTTGTGGGGGGAGGCTTTGCTTACAGCAAATTTTATCTTAAATAAAATTCCACATAAAAAGACTAATAAGTCACCTTATGAAATGTGGAAAAGGAAGTTACCCTCATATAAAATATTGAAAGTGTGGGCGTGTTTGGCAAAGGTACAAGTTCCTCTACCAAAAAGGACAAAACTTGGACCTAATACAGTTGATTGTGTCTTTATAGGCTATGCTATGCATAGTGCTGCTTACAGATTCCTGGTGATTAAATCAGAAATACCTGATATTAATAACAATACTATTATGAAATCTATTGAAGCTAAATTCTTTGAGGATATATTTCCTTTTAAAGAAGAAAGATCGAAAGGTAATGGGACCAAAAGGAATCATGAGACTAGCTATTCAAAAGGTCAAAATGATCAGGAAACTGAGATCGAACCTAGAAGAAGCACAAGAGCTAAGAAAGCTACTTCCTTTGGACCCTCAAAATTTTCAAGAAGCTGTGTCATCTCCTGATGCACCGTATTGGAGAGAAGCTATTAATAGTGAGATAGAATCCATTTTGCATAACAATACCTGGGTATTGGTTGATTTACCTCCTGGAAGTAAACCAATTGGAAGTAAATGGATTTTCAAAAGAAAGGTAAAAGTTGATGGCACTATTGATAAATATAAAGCCCGTTTAGTAGCTAAAGGCTATTGTCAGAAAGAAGGGCTAGATTTCTTTGATACCTATTCTCCAGTGACAATGATTACATCTATAAGGATGTTAATTCCTATAGCAGCTTTACAAAATTTGGAAATACACCAAATGGATGTAAAAACTGCATTTTTAAATGGAGATTTAGATGAAGAAATCTATATGGAACAACCTGAAGGGTTTGTTGTAAAAGGATTTGAAAATAAAGTTTGTAAACTTGTCAAGTCTCTTTATGGGTTGAAACAAGCACCCAAACAATGATATGAGAAGTTTAATCACACTATGTTATCTAATGATTTAAGATAAATGAGTGTGATAAATGTGTCTATGTTAAAACCATAGATCAATATTGCGTCATTGTTTGCTTATATGTGGATGATATGTCGATAATGAGCACAATAAGAAGTGTCATTGATTCCACCAAAAAGATGTTGAATTTCAACTTTGATATGAAAGACCTTGGTCTTGCTGATATTATCCTTGGAATTAAAATAACAAGAAATCCAAGTGGATATATACTTTCTCAATCTTATTACATAGAGAAAGTCTTGAGAAAATTTGGTCATTTTGAGAGTAAGTGAGTAGTTACTCTATTTGATCCAAATTGTAAGTTGAAGAAGAATAATGGTGAATGTGTATGTTCTCTAGAATACTCTAGAGTAATGAGTAGTTTAATATACATAATGAATTGTACAATACCTAATATTGCCTATTCAGTAGGAAGATTGGCAAGATACACTAGCAATCATGGGCATGATCATTGGAATGTGTTAGTCAGAGTTTTAAAGTACTTGAAGTACATTATGGACTATGGATTGCATTATAAGAAATATCCATCTGTATTGGAAGGATTTAGTGATGCTAACTGGATCTCTGATAGCATGGAGACTAAGTCAACCAGTGGGTATATATTTATCTTAAGTGGAGCAGCTGGGTCATGGAAATCTTCAAAACAAACGTGTATAGCACGATCTACTATGGAATCAGAGTTTATAGTTCTTGATAAAGCTGGAGAAGAAGTAGAATGGCTTAGAAACTTTCTTGAAGATATTCCGTTGTGGCTGAAGCCTGTAAGTGTCATATGTATTTATTATGACAGCTTAGCAGCCTCAATGAGAGCTAAGAATATTGTCTACAATGGGAAGCCATGACACATAAGATGCAGACATAATTCTATCAAGCAATTGCTCTCTAATGGTATAATTTCCATTGATTATATAAAATCAAAAGAGAATGTTGAAGATCCTTTGACGAAAGGATTGTCTCGAGAGCAAGTTGCATATACATCGAGGGAAATAGGACTAAAGCCTATGAAATGAAATATCTAGTTGTAACCTAACCTATTTGACTGGAGATCCCAAGATCTAGGTTCAATAGGCAAACTGGCTGGATAATTCATAGTTGACAAACTAAGAAACTTATAGTTTCTTACCATTTCTATGATGTTATGTGTGTGATTGTCGATGTTAAGGTCATATTGATATCTTGATTACAAGAGAAGTAGTGGTAGAATACTCTTAATCAATATCACCTGTATGAGAGTAGAATTGGGTCGGTTCTATGAGAATTTTTCAAATGACTTATGTTCTTTAAAGCTCTCATGAATTCAGGATCTTGTCCAGGACCAAAATGGACACAACCATATAGCACTCAAAGGTACAAGATAAGTTATGTGTGATATTTGTTGTCTCAATTTATCATGAGAAGGATAGTTCTAGAGCTAGTTCTCACTATTTCTTCTGTAAATTCGATAAATATTCACTAAGGAACGTTCAAGTCCAAAAAACACCTCTCTTGATGCATAACTTATCTATTTGCTCTCAACGTTTTGGTCGTGTTTTGTCTGTCTCACTTTCTTTCGTGTGGGGAATTGTTGGATTTTAAGGTGTGAATAAAAGTGAAAGTTTAAGAAATTTATTAACATATACGTTGTGAATATGTTTATTTCTTTAGTGGTTTTATTTCTTTATTTATTAGACTTGAAGTTATTTATTTAATTGAAAAATTGTTTCTTTATTTTGTTAAGGTTACAAAGTTACACATTTGTAACTTTGTGTTTGTTAAGTTACGTATGTAACATATGTAAAAGGTTACATATGTGTTAAAAGCTGGTGAGATGTTACTTGTTTTGGACAACTATAAATAGTTGTTGTTATGTTCATTTGAGAAATCAAGCAATTCTCATTTTTAGTTCCTCCTCCTCTCACAAGAGTTCTCTCTTCTTTTGAGTTCTTCTTCTTGTTTATGCTGAGAGCAAGTTTCTAAGAGTTCTGCCAGATCCGAGTAGTTCAAGGTTGCTGTTCTACCGGAGTTAGTCATTGTATCCTGCTGAGACGATCATTGTAGTCGGCTAGCAACTTGTGTAGAGTGAATAATTGTCTTCAGGTCATGACGCCCGCGTAGGTCACATGTGTGAAGACGTATATCTGTGTTGCAAGGTACAGGAATATATTGCACCCACCCAAATTGACGCATAACAAGGTCGGGAAATTGCCACTCTACCACATAAAAACATATGAGAGGACTCCTAGTTGTCCATATATGCTGACTAATAAGGCAATACTCGGGTAAGCGCCCTAATAAGTGCCTATATGGCTCCCAAATAATTTGCATTAATTTTGTAAGATGAGCCCAAAAAATAAATCCAACGTTAATAAACAATCATACATAAATAAAATTAATAATACTTGATCCGGCATGAGTTGATCCAACATGAATCGGTATTGGATAAGTACGTGAGTCGGGGATTCAGTAACTCTAAAATCATCATTCCATCTACATTTATGAGAAGTTGAATGTTAGTTTTTATTGAAGAAACCTACGTGTGAATTACTTGAACTAAGAAATAAAATTACGTATCGTACTGCCAATGGTCTATCTCATAAGTTATTATCGTGTATATGGAGTCTGCGGGGTGCTAGTAACGGGAAGCGATCTCATGCCCAAATTTGTAGTAATATAACTGGTCCTGCTATATCTTGTGCATCTATAGCTACAGCTTTGCATAACTGTCTATAAAGCCATGCAAGGCAACTCGCACCCCAACTGTACTGTTCAGCTATACCAAAATCTGCTAGTAGAGGTAGGTACATCAAGTGGACTCTACTATTCAACCTATCTGAAAATACAATACCTCTAATAATGGTAAGAATGTATGCGCTAGCATAACGTTGTAGAGCTACATCATCAACATCATCTGGTAGATGGGCAAAATCATCAAACTGGTTTGCCAACCATGGTAAGCTAAGACGATCACCAACTAAATCTCTTTCTCCTGGTGTAACTCCTATTAATTCAGTACACACATCCCTCCAAGTATGCTGAAATGATCCAATAAGAGCTTTCCTGTCTATAGGTAGTTCAAATTTGATGGCGAAATCCGGTAATGTGACGGTACACTCTCCATGCGACAAGTGAAATGTGTGCGTCTCTTGTCGCCAGCGCTCCACCAAAGCTGTGATCAAATGACAGTCCAACTGTATAAAATTCAAACGTGACACACCATAAAATCCTATTTGTCGTAGATATGGATCTATACGAGGATCTGGACGTGTCACCCTACTAATAGTAGCCTCTCGACGTCTGTAATGTGAGGGGTCGATGTATCCAGTTTGCCAGACCAACTCAGATCGATGGCTAGCTTGAAGATGTAAAACAGATGAATCATACGGTCCTATGCTATTATTATCCTCCATATTCTGATAGTTTAGTAGATTAATAAACCATATAATCATCAGTTTAGTAATAATTTTTTTGTTTGCACTGTGAATTAAGTTAAAAATTAAAGTAAAATATTACATTCATCAATAATTCCAGTACGATTACATGAAAAATGCCACAATGGAAAATTTAAAATGGAAAATGCTAGGGCAATAAAAATTACACAGAAAATGTTACATCAAACATCAGGAAGTGGGATTATGACATCGACTAGGGCAATTTCGTCGATTATCCCCTTCTTGCCTACAAATTCCACAATGTATTTTTATTGCTGGCTCCCTCCAATCCATCTCATTATACTTGCGAGATGTTGATGGTCTGCCGACACTCTCACTAAATTTTTATCAGGATTAATTTTGATGAAGTTAGAGGTGGGCCAGCTTCTTTTATCCGGGATAGGTTCAAATAGGGGTGAATAACAAGACATATATGTCTCCAGATTATAATGCTTGTCTATGTACAACAAATAATCTGTGTCGACGCTTGCACAAGCTGCAATGGCATGGGAACAAGGAATCTCGTAGCACTGCAACTTATTACATTGGCATGATCGCTTCTTACAGTTCACGCGATGTGTGGCTTCACCTCTAAACGTCTGTGAATGAATTGCAGTGGTACATCAAATGTTCCACTATTCATATCAAACCTACGCACACTGTGTGCAGTGACACGTGCTTCCCAAGGAGTTAATATTCCAATGGCATACCTAACAATTATATTAAAATTTATTAAATGATCATATCATTATCATTCATAGGAAATGTATTAATAAAAATTCACCTTGTGAAGTATTCCCCATTTGCAATGACAGCTTGTATTTCAACTCTTCGTTTATCAAAATAATGTACAGTTCGATAGAATGTTACCTGGACCAATGCAGTTATAGGTAACTTTCGAGCACTTTTTAGTACACTATTAATACATTCAGCAATATTTGTGGGACACCACCTATATCGGTGTCCGCCATCGTATGCCCGTGTCCATTGTTTTGGATCTAATGAACTGAAGAATCTCATGCATTCTTCGTTTGCTATTTCAAGCTTATCCATACATTCTTTTAATTTTGGAACTTGAAACTGTGATCCTGCACGATATACCAAACTTTTCAATGTGTTATCCTTATATCGTTCATTAAAATTACTTGCGAGATGTCGCAAACAAAACCTATGATGTGCATCTGTCAATCCATTTGCAGGGTTCCTTATGGCAGATATGATGTCCTTGTGTCTATCAGAAATCAAGCATATATCCTTCCTATTCCCTACCACCTTACGCCTTATGTTAGATAGAAATCATCCCCATGTATCAGCACTTTCTTCTAATACAATGGCATATGCAACAGGGTAAATGTGACTATTAGCATCGACGGACGTTGCTATTAACAATTTCCCCTTATACTTCCCATATAAATGTGTTCCATCGATTTGAAGCAAGGGTCTGCAATGCTTGAAACTTTCTATGACAGGCCCGAACGCCCATAAAACGCGTTGAAATACAGCTTCACCAGTATCTTTTGCCCCCATCAACAACCAGTCAACTACAGTACCAGGATTAGTTATTTGTAGTACATTCATCCACTCAGGTAACATATGGTACAATTCTTCCCAATTACCAAATACATTTATAATGACTTTTCTTTTTCCATCCTATACTCTTGAATACCCCACGGAATAGCCATATTTTTTCTTTAATATTTCCTGCAGTGTTGCAAACTTCATGGCTGGGTTAGATTTCACAACGCTCCACAAAATATTTCATGCTCTTTATTTTCTACAATTGGGACTAAAGTAGGCAAACTAATCTTTCCTAAAGTTGGAATTTCATGAGAAATAGGTTTAAGATTAGTATACCTTGAAGATTCTAGTTGGTGCCTTCTCTCAATCCTCTTTGCAAGGTGTAACATTTCTCCCAACCTAGTACAAGGTTGAATTTCCTCTCTTTCTGCAATCACCTTGGCAATTTCTCCATTAAATCCATTGTAGAACCAATCCATGGTGGTCTTCTCATCTTCATATACATTAAGCTCCTCAAACAATGAGCACAACTCGTCGTAGTATGCTTCAACACTTTTGTCCCTTTGTCTCAAGCTTTTCAACATGATTAATGACTTGGGAACAAATTGTCTCTTCATTAATGGCTTGAGTTCTCTCCATGAGGTGATTCGTCTTTCTCGATTATTTTTCCTATTCAAAAACAAAGCATCCCAAGCATCCCACCATGTTATAGCATAATCTTTAAAACAAGTGATAATAAGATTTACCTTGATGCTTTCACTCCAATGGTGTTTTGCAAAGATGCTCTCGACTTGGTCCTCCCAATGAAGACATTCTTGTGGCTTTATACTTCCATGAAAAGTCAGAAGTTAAGGGGTTGAATCTCCAAGGTAGCCACTAGTATGGTGATCTTTACTCATTTGATGAGTTACATTGAAGACATGGTTATTATAATTCTCGCGTCGTGGACTTGTTCCTTCTCCTTGAGGTTTGCCTCTTGTTGCCATCACTACACAAGTAAAGGTTAGAAAATAATGATTTATATTTCTCACTCACTCCCTTACTTGTCCTCTCGGCTTGTCTCTTTTGGTAGGGTGGATTTTTGGTGTGGATACCCTTATGGAGATGCTCACTTGATTGCTTGTGGCGAATCGACCTTTGAACAAGCAAGCACAAGCCTACAAGCGACTTATGCAAAAGTACCTTTTTTTTATTTTTACTAAGGGTCAATGGTATAGATGATATCAAAGACAAGAATCAAATGGTGGCAAACAAATACCAAATGATATAACACAAGGATTTGATACAAATGATACCGAATGATATTACAAGATGAATGAAGCAAGATATAAACAAGGATAGATAAAAGACAACCTAGAGCCTAATGCTCTTTGTTCTAAGGACTCAACAACAATATAAAAATTGATGTCAAAGCTAAACAAAGAAAAACTATGCAATAAAAATCAATGAAATAAAAAATAAACTCTAAAGATGTACAAAATCCTACTCGTAGTGCAAACACACACAAAATAATTCTTACCAACAAAACAGTAACCTTTGCGGCAAGTAGGGTGACTTTAGGTGAAGGGTGTATGTTGTGTACGGCTCGGATTAGGCTCAAATCAGTGGCAAACTGAAGTACAACGAGTGTAATGAACGTATGTAGGCTTCCAAAAGGTTTGGAATTCGTCGGAGGGGGCTGCTCTCTCAAAGAAATTCTGGGGCTGCACAAATGGTCTCTCTCAGGTGGCCCAGTGGGTTAGGCGGTTGTCCTCCTTCTTTTGGGCTATCCAAAGTGGCCAAAATAATTCAAAAATATTTTTAAATAATAGGATAAACAATATTAGGATTACTTACCAAAACGAAATCGATTTGGACGAGTTTTGATGGCCAAAGATTTTCTCCAAACCTGTCTAGCTTCAAATATGGAAAGTTTTCTGCTTGGACACCTTCTCTTCTTTCGTCGATAACTTTTGCTACAGACCTCGGATGACTGATCTTTATGTCCCTGGAAAGCTCTTTCAAAGACCTTTAATTTGGTACCTGATATAACTATATTCAATAAAAAGGTCAGTAAGATATGAATCGTCGAAGTTGGGACTGTGTTCTTTCGGCGGCTACAGGATTTCCAGAAAAACAGTGCGGACGAAAAACTCGATAACTTTCAAACCACAAATCGAAAATTATGATTTTGGGCTCTATAGAAAGCTAACTCAAAGATCTCTCGAATGTCACCAATTTCACTCAATTTAGACTTCGGAGAAAAAAGTTATGAGTTTTTTAATTCGGCTCTCGATTTTGTGCCCTCTATAGGTTTCTCTCAAATTTCGGGGTTCGAATAAAATGATAACTTTGACTATGGGGCTCAGAGTAAAGTGAAACTTGGTTGTTGGAAAGCTTTTGAGGTTCTGAACATAAACAAACAAGTTTTATACACTTTAAAGCAATTTTCGAAATCAAAATTCTTATGCAAGAATGATAGAAAAGTTGGCATGCGGAAGAACAAGAAAAATCGATGAACTTTTTAAGAGATTTTCGAATAAGGAAAGTAAAGACAAGACGGAAATCTAAAGACAATAAAGTAACATATATCCCGGTTTAGAGCCTAAGCTCGGATACCAAATGATATTTGACAACCCAAGCGTATTGAGCTACTCGAGCCACAAGCCACTTGAATCTAATCGTATAGATGGTTCAACCCGAAAGGCTAAGAGTTAGAGGGATTACCTTTGCAGTCATACCTTGAGCAGACAGAATACTCACTGTGCTAGAGACCGTAAACACTCCACGATTTTGGTGACCAATCAAACAAGCATGCTCTGAGGGGGTAAAATATGAAAAACCTAAGTTCAACCACACAAAAGAATTTCGATATTTCAGGGGGCACTCAATTTTTATTCATTTACACTTGTTTTACAAAGAAGGGGAACAACCTATTTATAGGCTAAGACCCATGACCTTTTAAGGAAAATAACAAAATTAAAAATGATAATTCCTAAAATGTAAAGAACTTGCCTAAAAGTGAATTTAAATTTGATAATTAAAAGAAAATAAACCAAAATAAAATCCCACAAAATAATCAAGGAAAATAAGAAGGAAATCTTTTCCTTAAAAGTGATGGAGTGGGTGGCAAGGCAAGTTGGGGGCACCCATGGGAGTGGCAACATCAAATG